CTACAATATTTATACCGTAGACGTTGCGAGCGAATTTTCGTTAGATTTTAATCGAACGAAACTGACAATAACTGAAATTCAACATTCCATCTATAAATGCACAAATTCTCGCAATTCCACCAAAATCACGATTTCACCGTCATCTTCGATGAGAGCTCGATTATCCCCTCGAAATTCCCTCTGAAAATTCGATTCATCGCCAAGGTTTCAAACCTCTCCTCCGTTCCTCGAGCCTGCATCGCGTAAAACACAGACATATTTACAAGGTGTCGTTCCCTGCCGGTGACGTTTCTTGGCCGATCTCTCGTCTCGGCAGCGTCGACAGAGAAACTCTATGCATTGGATTCGCAGGTCAGTGAGTTGTCGCGTCGAGTCATTCAAACCGGTGTCACCAGCGCTCGATTTATCGTGTTCGTCAATCTTGGAAGACTGACCTCCCGTCGTGGCTCCGGTTACCGTCCACGACGATGTTACCACCCGCCCCCGCGTCTTTCCACGGCCCGCCTCCGCCACCGCCAAGCTAGCGCGGCGCGGCGTTATCCTGGCAAGCAGCACGCTCCTTTGTCTTCCGTTTTATTCCGGTCCGCGGCGCGATGGAACCGGCCACGTCGATGAGTATCTACGCTGCCGAGCGAACGATAAAAAGCCGGGGGCCCCCCGTCCCCTCTGCACCGTTCTGCAAACGCTCGCCGATCGAGCCGCGGGGCCACCATACCTTCATTGCGCGCCAATCTAACAACGGAACAATCGAATGGCCTCCCATTTTCGAGTTTCAGTCTTAGAAGAATGCTTCTGGAATTTTTTTTGTTTCCACAAGTTTATTCCAGCAGGTTTCAAGTTTGACATTTTCGATTTTTTAAATTTCTTTTGCCGTGTAATAAAAATATTGGAGAGTGCTGGTATCGGCTACCGAAACAGAACGTTTCGAGCCTGCTCGCGATCTTACAATTAGCGAAGCGCACGAGCAGCGTTAGGGGATCTATCGAGATTTCAAGCTCGCGAAAACGAGCGACAGCCACGCGGGGAAACTTTCGATCCGTTGTTTCGAGTGGATCTAATGCTGAGAGGGTGTGGTGAAAAATAAGGAATCAATTACAACCTTAATGCGTCGTGTAGGATTATGTCGCGTTAGAACGCGACTAAAAGAGGAGAAAAAGACACGCGCGTTCGACAGATGAAACAAAAACTACGATCCCTTGTAACATGCCAATTATTTTCAAAGGCCAAAGCTGAAAGAGAGAATTTCGATGACTAGCATCGAACACGCGTCGTCTCGTCAGACAATTCCCGCGGATTCCTCCACTTTTGTTAAACAATGAAGGTCAATAGACAAAACGGAACGCGAAAAAGGCCGCAAGAACGGAAAAAAAAGAACAAAGAGAAAAGAGAAAAAAGAGAAAAAAGCCCTCTGAATTTCTTTTGAAAAAACTTTTCCTTTTCTTCGTTTCCGCGGGAGGATCCACCATTCGCAGAAGAGAAAGATAGGGGGAGAGAAAGAGAGAGAGAGAGAGAGAGGACGTGTATACAAAAGCTATCGGGGAACCATTAATACGCGGATCGCGCGTTTCCACGAGGATTCACGATAGTGGCGAGAACAATGACAACGAGGACGATGCTTACTCCACGACGAACCAAACCAGCGACGAAAGACAGAGAGCTAGAGAGAGAAAGAGAGAGAGAGAGAGAGAGACTGCGTATTGTCCTGCTCGACGATAAAAGGTTTCGCATCGTTGCAACGGTGCCTACCTACTGGGACATGGGGGGCTCCAGAAGACGAAGTAGTAGAAGCAGAGCAGAGGAACGCACTGACGACAAAACGCGCCTGCGAGAGAGAATAGAAAAAGAAGAAAAGATGAGAGAGAGAGAGAAAGAGAGAGAGAGAGAGAGATCGGGTGCAGCAGATAAAGAGGTCGACGATAATGCTCTCAGTACCAGGCTCGGTTTCCTGGCTGCACCAGGGCGGCCATTATATTGTTTTACCTCCGTATCTCAGCCAGAGATCAACCGCGGAGAACTCTGTGTGCTCACCTTCCATCGGTGAGAATGATGATGGCCCCTCACGATGGAACTGGAGGAATCGCTGGGGACCGAGACTGCCGAGAGTGAGACGAACGTTGAAAGAAAGAGGATAATAATAAGCGGAGCGAATGTTTTGGAACATGTTTTGACGCGAGTGCCAATAAGTAGGTTAGATATCTGGAAGAGACGTGGATACGCTTTGAAAAAGCGAAAAGCAGTGATAAAAGCGACATTTGCATGGGTTGAAAAATTTTTGGGTAATTGGTTGATCGATGAACTAAGATTTCTTTCATCTTCCAACTCTTAAAATTTGTCAACTCTTGAAAATATTAGACAAAAATGGCCGTGTATGATGGCAGGACAGATCGGTGGATGTCTTGTACGCGATCATCGTTGCCATCTCGTCGAGACGTCAGCGTCGGCGTTGGCGTCGGTATCGGCGGGGTGTCTGCTGAGGCTGATCCACAATGCATCCCCGAGTTGCATTGTGCCGTTTTGCATGAGACACGAGACACGAGACACGAGATGCGGGACGAAACGAAACGAGACGAGACGAGACGAGACGAGACGAGACGAGACGAAACACGGCAGTAGCAGCGGCATGCAGAAGAGAATTCTATGAGGGAGGGTGGCGAGAAAGGAGAGGAAGCCGGAATAAAACTAGAGAGGAGAGAGAGAAAGAGAGACGACGCCAGAGACGATGAACAAGAGAGGCCAAGAAAGAAAAGGAGACAAGGGCGCAAAGAGACTCGGTGCTCGATCGAAACGAAAGGGGGTTCGGGTCGTATGGGCATTGTTTTTTCATCTCTCGGGTCCCGTGCTACGAGGTGAACGATAGGAGAGTGAAAGAAAAAAAAAAAGAAGAGGAAGAAAAAGATAGAAAGAACGGGCGAAAGAAAGAGAACGACAGCGAGTTCTGAATGGCATCCCAGAATTTCAATATCTGCCCGACGCGATCGCGGCTGCGTTCTCATTTCAATTGGAAAAACTGATTTACTGGCTCGACCGCGATTCTCTCGGCTCGGACGATCGATGATGCGAGCTAAACATTCGTGCGGTTGACGTATGTACGACGTTCAAATAATCTCGCGACTCTGATCATCGATCGGACCATCTCTTCGCAGTTTCTCTTTCAAGAAAAAGAAAAAAAATATATAAAGGAAAGAACTGTTTGAGAACTGTCGACAGCTTGGAGAAGCAGCGAGCAACGCGGATTGTTGTGTAAAGGATCGGGCGCGATGATTGCGGCGTAATCTGCTTTCGCTTTGCTCTCGGGGAACCTGGTGTGCCAGTTGTCGTTTCTGATTGGCCCGAGGCGACTTCCGTCTCTCGGAATCGGTCGCTGTCGAAACAACTGGCGGGCGAAACGACAGAGAGGAGAAAACCTCGAAGGACGAGGACGAACCGACTGAATCTCAGACAAGAGGGATGCAGATAGGGCAAATGGAGAGGTAGCAAGTTGAAAGAGAGAAGAGAGAGAGAGAGAGAGAGAGAGAGAGAGAAACAACCCTCCTGACACGGGTTATCCTATAAACGGTGGCAAGCCCGCAGCTACGCGGAGATAATCCGGCCCCCGGGGTCCGCGTGCGGTTGAACGCTCGCAACAGTTACCATATTTGATTGTATCCCTTCTATCCTTCTGGAATACAAAATAATAACGCGTCCTGCGCCGAATCGAGGGGCTCGATTAATCACGCTTTCCTAGCGGAACGACTTTGCCTCGCGAAATTATCTGATTATTTTCGTAGAACATCTTTCGCACACGAACGTACGTATTACCTACCCATATCGCGCATATTTGTTGCACGAAACATTTTGAAATGGCACGAGATGGCCACGAAATGCTTTTTGGCCTTTGTTTCTGTTTTTTAATCGTGTCTCTTTAAAAATACGACGTTGCCAAAAATCCGCAGTCCAACGATCGTTCTAAATTCTAAGATTCCCCGTCCAAACGTCGCGTCATGAGATTCCATCGGCTCGACCGTAAAAAAACGGGCGCACGTACGAATCAAAATCACGCACACGTTGGTTTTTCGCTGCTCGTGACACTATCCGCCACCGGTGGCGGTGGAAAACGCCCGGCCAAAAAGAAATCGCGCGTTTGATATGCCGCCAAAGGGAAACGCGTGTATGCTCGTGTACCATGAAAGAGAGGCAAACAAGGGGTTGGTTCAACGAGTACGAGAGAGACAGAGAGACACACAGAGAGAAAGAGAGAGAGAGAGAGACAGAGAGAATATTCCGTCGGTTGAGTTACAATTTCGTGTGGGTTGGTCGGTCGACTGCAACCATGCTTTCCACCCTATCCAACCCCCTACACCCCCATTCGTCTGTGTCCTTCTCGTTTCGCTTAAACGTAACAATTATTACCGGAAAAGCGCTGCACACGCATGCGGCAAACCGCGGGGCCCGCCGACGGAATTACATTGATATTAGTATCGTTTCAGCCGGCAGATTAATTAATTAAAACGCGCCGCCTCTTCCCCCTATTCTCGAAACCACCCACTCTCCCCCTTCGCCGTGCGTGTAAACCGCCTGCTCCCCCCTCTCCCTTCACCTTTCTTCTCTTGCCTGGATTTCTCAATGCTGGCCACTTTTACACACGCGCGAACGCCTTACTGCACTTAAACGTGCGGCACGTATACTCGTATATTGCAGATACGAAGGTGCGTCGCATACATTTATTTTTTTGCGTTTTAGAGAAACGTGCATTGCGGATATCCGATGGTTCGGATAAATTTCTGGGGAATGTATCGAATAGTTTTTCTCCTTTCGTTTTGAATTCCCAAATAATAATTGAAGACGAACCATTGAACAGATAGCGAACTGCGCGCGTTAAGGAAATTTTCGTAAGACTTTGCTCTTCTAACCGATATTTTATGAATCTTTAATCCAATATTTTTTGCTGAATTTCTAACGAAGAGAGGCGCGTAACGCATGCCTGATTTAAATGAAATGTAATTCATTGGTGTTTCACTTACCCTTCTTTGCGTGCAGAATATCCGCAGGATCCGGCGGCAGAGCTGTACAATGACTCGGACTCAAGCTGGGCTGCAGGGATGGAAATGGACTGCCAGCTCCAGATGGATACCTAATGCGAAATAAAATTTTGAAAACGGAAGGGACCGCGGTCTTTGTGGTCTTTTTTTTTTTCTCTCTCGACTAAATTATCCTCTCGTTTCTTTAAAAGGACTTTGAGAATTTTCACTCGTAAAACAAGAGAGACTGACGAGAAGATACGTTATCAAAGAAATTATCACAAAAAGTTTCTCAAAGGTTTCAAATGCAACACTAGGTGAAATTTGGGGAAATTTCCTGCAATAAACGGGAAAAGTTAAATTTAAATTACCATGGATTGGGCCTCGGCCAGCCAGTGGTTTGCCCGTTCAGCAGCCTCAATTTGTCGTAAACGCTCTCAGCTGGACTGCCAGCACCGACTCCAACGCCAACAGTAGCCACTCCTTGCTGCTGCTGCTGTTGTTGCTGTCGTTGCTCTTTCTGTGCCGCTAAATTTCTCAATACCCTGTTTATAGATGACACCTGAAATTAAAAAAAAAAAAAAAAAGACGGACTAATTACGACAATCTCGTATTTCTCAAGATTCACAATCTACGACCAACGTGTAACTCTTCGGATTCCCTCCGGAGGAATCTCCAGCAAACGAGCTGCACGCGGCTTGAGAAGAGCTTTCACAAAAGAAATCTCCGTCGCTCGTTTACCTCGAATCGCGCTTATCCTCGTGGAGTATCGGTTCCTAGGGACGCCTTTAGCAGATTGCATATTGGCTGAAGTGGTATTGGATTTATTATAAACACGCGAAACACCTCGATTCTCGATCGAGATAGAGAAAGATGAGAGAGAGAGAGAGAGAGTGAGAAGAGTTTGGGAGGAGAGCAGGGAGAGGAGGGCAGAGAGCGCTTCTGCCCGATGAAATGCGATGAGAGCGGTAATTAAAACGATGCGGTGAGCGGCGTGTGCTCCACGAGGGAGTTAATTACCTCCGCCTTCAATTATATCCGTCTCGCGTCACTCCAAGGGGACTTTGGCTTCTGCCAACCTAAGTACGCACTCGCGCGTCTGCGGCGCGAAACATGCGCGCACGCGGTCGTCTCTACACGCGCGATGCTACTTCCGCCGATCGACGCGCAAGTACCACCAGAGAGAGAGAGAGAGAGAGAGAGAGAGAGTCGTGTAATTTCCAAGTCTTCGTTGGAAAATTAAGCAGAATTTCCCGGCACCACGAAAGGCACAGCCTTTTGCTTGGAGAATTGCCTTGGACTGATCGTGAGTTTCCAACAGTTAATGTCAGACCTCGATTCTTTCACAACGTACGTGGCACGTGTGCTTCAGTTGACAAATATTTACCAAGTTGAGAGAGAGAGAGAGAGAGAGAGAGAAGAGAGAAAGGTGGAGAAAGATAAAAGGAGAACTTTTTTTACAGGTCTCGCCATCTAGATACTCGTAAAACTTTCGTCCCGCGGTTCTAAGTCTTTTTCCCCGTTTTATTCAACGAGTTTCTCTCAACCTTTTGTTTCGTCGAACGAACGCAATTACATCTTCGAAGGCGGAAGTATGCACGCGTCGAGGAATAACTGGAGACCGTGTACACCTCTCTCTCTCTCTCTCTCTCTCTCTCTCTCTCTTTCTCTGTTCCCCTTGGTGTGGTATCTTTTATTTATCCTCGGGCCGACGTGAGCTGCCTTCGTCGGTTCTGTCACTTACAGCTCGTATAAATCCCAGCCAAGTCGTAAAAGAATTCCAGGCGAGCTAAAGCGGGCCACGTTCCCCTGCTGCCGATAGTTTCGCAATTCATTTCCCAAACCTCTGTATTTTTCCTGTCCGTGTGTGTCGCCAGCTGTTCACACGCGACGCTGGAGCTAGACGCGTATAGAGACGAAGCAAAGTAACAGGGATTGTCAATTTTTATTTTCGTAAACGCAACTGAGAAAGTGAAGGAAGTTTAGAAATTATGAAATAATTTGCATCTGTCACTTTCACTGAAATTCACTAAAGAACGAATGAATAATCGAACGATCTCCGAGAAATATAAACACGCTATGTAGCCGATGGTAGTCTGGTGGGAGACGTGGTGTGGTAGAGGAGAAGAGGAGAAATCGCGTGTCCAAGGATTACGCGCCAAGTTCTCGGATTGGCCATGGGAGATTTTCGTTCCCCAAGGTTTGTTAGACCCGGTGTCAGGGTTCCGCAGCGTTGAAGCGAGCTGACATCTCGGACCCACGAGCCGGAGTGTACTGTCATCCCCCTCAGTGCACACGCGGACACACCGCTATCACGAACACGTTCCAAACATGAAACAGACGTCGTTGATACTCTTCCCCCGACTTGTCTTCGATGTCCTCTGACGTTCTGGACCTCGATTCCTCTCCTTTTTATCTTATCAACATTCTCGATATCGAGCTTTTCGCGTGCAACGGGTTACGACGTAATTTTTTTTCCAAGATAATAGCGTTGCACACACATCCGTCGGTGATTTTTACGTTGAAAATGTTTCCGAAAGAGGCACGAGGCGGCATTTCACGTTTGAAATCACGTAAGAACAACGCTTTGCAACAATTTTTAGTGCTTGAAATTTCAAAGTGCAGAGTTGCAGAGAATTAATTAACAATAGTCTCGGGAAAAATATGAATTCGCATAAAAGTCCAAGCGCGAGTGGACTCGGCTGTTACACTGTTACACGGTTGTAGCTGTTTCATCGCTGTGTGTGGAAATTTGAAATATTTCAGAGGGGCGTCAAAACGGGAAACCTTCGCGTTCCACCACCTTCAGGTTCTCCCAGGCGATTTATAAAGTAACCAGGATCCAGAGATATTTCCAATTTTCCAGCGCCCGGTCCGAACAAACCCGATATTTCTTTGGGTCTCTTTCGTCTTAACGCGATGCCACGAAACGCGTACAAAAGCGTCCACGTCGAGTGACTTCTCGACGTCACAAGCTCGAGAGTACAATGAGAAGTCGTTGCGGCAAAGAAGCTTCTCTCTCTCTCTCTCTCTCTCTCTCTCTCTCTCTCTCTCTTTTTCCGCGACAAAGCCGACGTTCCAAAGAACGGGTGCCAGTCAAACGACAATCCCGCTGTGACATCGAGTGTCCTGCCTATGTTTGGTTCGTTTCTCTTTCTTCTTCCTCTCTCTCCTTTTTTTATTCACCGCGAATATCCTTTTGCTTTATTCTATATCCACGACAACATTTGCGCCCTCGTGTCACCCTCGTCATTATCGTGACAATCGTAACCATACTAGAAATCGATCCCACAATGCCACGTCCCGCGTACGTACTACGTTTCATGGCGAACCACTTGCCAAACATTGAAATTGGTGACACGTTTCCTCGGTCAGTCGTGAATAAGGGAGTTTTACGTTCTGTCGACGTGGTTTATTTTTTTTTTTTTTTTTCGAGAGCGAAGATATATTGTAGTTAGTAGTTAGTATTGTAGTTAGTAGTCTATGCGTTTAATCAAGTTTGAATAATTGTTCTGCAGTCAGGGACAAGAACAAAATAATTACACTATTTCTTTGATTATTCTAAAATTTTCCTTAAAACATTTTTCTTTTTATATGTATAATTACAATTTGTATTCTTCAAGAGTGACGACGCGTTCGTTTCAAAATAATCCGCACGATCGTCGAATTATCATCGTTATCGAATCGTAACGAGAATAGTAACGAGGATAATATTATGACGTCTCTATCCAACACCCTTTTCGACGATGAGCCACCCTCTTCACGCTTCATGCTAATTTCATCGATCCACCGGATCCTCTTCTTATAGTTGCTAACGTGTTCACGAGCCCTCGCCGCGTGGCGTCCTTCGTACGAATCGCACGGACCAAGGATTATATCCATCACTCTTTTGTGTCTGTCGTAACACGACGCGTTATCATACTTTTCAGCGTTGAGAAGCGTCGCGGGACATTTCTACTACGGGCAAAGATTTTTTTTTCGGACAATACGAATAACGATGTTCTATCTAACATTGTCACGTTTTCTTTTTTATATTAAAAACGTGGATGCTCGAGACATTTGTAGAAAATTTAAAGTTTAAAACATTCGAACCTGCGAATAACGTAAAAATATAAAATATTCAAAGCGCAGAGTACGATATTCATCGGTGACGCGAAGCGTGGCGTCAAAACAGGATATGACCGAGTCGTTCGGTGAAAACAGCGTGAACATCCGCAGCTTTCCGTTCCGTCCGCAACTATGACTTTCATGACTTTTAAATAACCCTCGTAAAGTACCTTGGGCCAAGCAACGTGGACCAACTATTACTTCAGGATGTTTTTGTCATAATAAAGCCGCGATGTATGGGGCTGGTCGAAACCCCAGGATAACGGAAGTGAACTGAATGGGGAAACGAGAGAAGAGTCGCACCCTTCGCTTGATACACTCTACTCCCGCTTATGATCGAGCCTACGAGTGCTCGGGTGTTTCAAGAGACGGGTGGATCCCGTCGAAATAATAATTGTAATTAAATAATTAGTGAAATTCGTACGCGACAAACATCTATTCGCGGTACGAAACGTGGCGTGTGCTGTTGCGTAGTACAAGCACACGTATACACGCACACTACACCTACAGAAGGCGGTAGGAGAAAATCTGTCACGTAACCTGTCATTAAATCACCCTTCTTGCTCCAGGAACCGCAGAGCGCAGTGCGAGCACCTAAATCACAGGTTACGTGATTTCTGGATCAGCCGCCATACGTCACCACCTAATAAGAGTATATCGTGTTATGCGGTTTCCGCTCTTCGACACTTGATAATGATTTAACGCTCTGCTTCTAAACACGCCTCTCATTGTGCTGTAATAGGTATAATCTGCGTTTGCATTTTGAGTATACAATAACGCGTATTATACAGCCTGCGACGTATCGAAAGCGATACAGATTAATTTGCGCTGAATGGAGGCAACGCGTGCCTCCAAAGAAATGTAACCATTTGTTATTTGTATGTATTTCAAGTTTCAAAGGAATGCCTCGCGACAAATAACTTTATGCGTACATCTCTCCGCGTATATTTTTCTACCATTAAATTCCCACGGAACCAAACATGTAAAAGCAGGCAAATGGCGCAATTTTTCGCCGATTATTCGGAATTGCGATCGCAACGAATTCGCGCGCGTGGAAATTGGGGTGAACCCGGCGCGGCACGCGTCGATACGCCGATTTGCAGTATAAATCTTGCATCCTACGCAGCGACAATATCAGCGTAGTCACCCCATACCGCGTGGGAAATCCCGTCTGGATCAAGTCGAAGGAGAGTGGAGCCGAGAAAAAAGAGAGAAGAAAAAAGAGAGATGCGAAACGCGTGCACCACCGATTGTGTAACGTGACAGCTCTATTATGTACTCGCCTCTACTTAAGTCGATTCAACTGACCGCTCACCCTTCTGTCCGAACGAAAATCGAACGCTGACGTTGTAACTCTCTGTCAAAGTGTCTGGTTTTTTTTCATAACCATCATCGTTTCATGACAATCATCGTTTTCAACGATTGTGAATTTCAGCGATTAAATAATTATAATCA